AGCTGAGGCTACAGGCATGTGACACCATGCCCAGATAATTGTTTTTTTGTTTTGATTTGTTTTTTTGAGACAGAATCTTGCCCAAGCTGGAGTGCAGTGGCGCAATCTGGATTCATTGCAACCTGTTCCTCCCAGGTTCAAGCGATTCTCCTGCCTCAGCCTCCCGAGTAGCTGGGATTACAGGTGTGTGCCACCAAGCCCAGCTAAGTTTTGTATTTTAAGTAGAGATGGGGTTTCACCATGTTGGCAGGCTGGTCTCCAACTCCTGACCTCAACTGATGTGCCTGCCTTGGCCTCCCAAAGTGCTGGGATTACAGGTGTTAGCCACCATGCATGGAGGTCTTGGGTTTTGAAAATTATAATTTCTGAGCCGGGCCAGGTGGCTCAAGCCTGTAATCCCAGCACTTTGGGAGGCCGAGGCGGGTGGATCACGAGGTCAAGAGATCGAGACCATCCTGGTCAACATAGTGAAACCCTGTCTCTACCAAAAATACAAAAAATTAGCTGGGCATAGTGGTGCATGCCTGTAATCCCAGCTACTTAGGAGGCTGAGGCAGGAGAATTGCCTGAACCCAGGAGGCTGAGGTTGTGGTGAGCCGAGATTGCGCCATTGTGCTCCAGCCTGGTTAATGAGCGAAATTCCGTATATAAAAAAAAAATTATAATTTCTGTTCATACCTTGTATCTTCTGACAATTCTTCTTGACTCTGCCTTTATATTAGGCCCTAAATTCAGAATAATAAAAATGTTAAGATGTCTTTTATACTTAAAATATTTGCTCCTTCATCTTCTATGAGAAGGATAATTGAAATAAATGGCCTTGAGTGGTGGCTCATGCCTATAATCCCAGCACTTTGGGAGGCCAAGGCAGGCAGATCACTTGAGCCCAGGAGTTCAAGGCCAGCCTGGGCAACACAGTGAAACCATCTCTGCGAAAAATCAAAAAATACAAAAAATTAGCTGGGCATGGCGTGTGCGCCTCTGGTCCCAGCTACTCCAAAGGCTGAGGTTGGAGAATTGCTTGAGCCCAGGAAGCAGAGGTTACAGTGAGCAGAGATCATGCCACTGCACACCAGCCTGGGTGACCCCAACTCAAACAAACAAATAAATAAATAAATAAATGTGGACATTTTTCAAACTTAAACAATTGCGAGGACTTTAAAAAAAAACATGAAAAAGGAAAAGGAAAAAAAACCCATATTTTATGAATTTTCTACCATGTGGACACATTTTTATTTCAAAAAATAAGTAACTTAAAAACAGATATGCCTTTTTCAATTAAAAAGTTAAAGAACATATCAATCTTATGCACACTTAATGTAAATTACTCTGTCTAAACCTGATAGTAAGCCAACAGTTCAGAGACATGCACTAAAAAAATGGGCAGCTGTTGGTAGAAATAATTTTTGGATATGTGGAGAAATAGCTGGGATTTTAATAAGGGCTGTGGGATTCTGGAGTCATAAAGAGATGTTGTAGAAGGGGGATGTTAGAAAGAATAAAAAACAGGAAATTTAATTTTTTTCACAGGAAAATTAAACTGAAAAAACTGCTTTGGATACAGTACAGAGCCAGTGAAGGATACATAATAGTACTTCTGAAACAAAAGGCAAGAAAGGAATGGCCAGAAGTTTGTGTATAGGAGAACTTTCCCAGCAGTTCTGCTGTGAATATCGAGAGGGAAGGCCAGGTCTTTCTTCATGAAATGAAGAGTCGGGAGAATTCTGGGCTGGTAATGTCAGCAGATCAATTTACCTACTCAGAACTCACATTTCCACTGTCCTTTTGAGTTCAGAAGGGTGATCTGCTAAGACGGCTGAAGTGTCTGGGGACCTTTTTTTTTTTTTCTTGAGACAGAGTCTTGCTCTGTTGTCCAGGCTGAAGTGCAGTGGCGTGATCTCAGCTCAATATAACCTCTGCTTTTCTGGTTCAAGCGATTCTCCCACCTCGGCCTCCCAAGTAGTTGGGATTACAGGTGTCCACAACCATGCCTGTCTAATTTTTATATTTTTAGCAGAGATGGGGGTTTGCTATGTTGGCCAGGCTGGTCTTGAATCCTGAGCTAAAGTGATCCGCCCGCCTCAGCCTCCCAAAGTGCTAGGATTACAGATGTGAGTTACCATGCCCGGCCTCTGAGGACTTCTTAATTTACTATATTTTATTCTAAAGGAGGACCTTTGATATTAGCTAGTAGTACAGTATATTGTACAGAAAAAAGGATAGAGGCATGCATAACAACTATTAGCACAAATATGTATGTGCATTTTTCTCTTCTAGCACAGATATGACTCCTGTCAATTAGCAGTTGTGACACACATTGCTTAAAATCAACAGCTGATTCAATAATTGGAAATATGAACTTTATAGATAAAAATTATAAAATAAATTGATTTCTATAAGCTCATTTAGGAAGGATACTTCAGCTAACTATATTCTCCTTTGGTATTTTTTGTTTCTCCTTTGGGATTTTATTCTTTCTTTTTGCTCACAAATATTTTTGAATTTATATTCCTAAAGGCAAAAAAAAAAAAAAAGGGAACTTATACTAAAATAAGCAACTGTTTCTCTTCTTTCTTTCTTTCTTTTTTTTTTTTTTTTGAGACAGAGTTTCGCTGTTGTTACCCAGACTGGAGTGCAATGACACGATCTCGGCTCACCACAACCTCCGCCTCCTGGATTCAAGCAATTCTCCTGCCTCAGCCTCCCAAGTAGCTGGGACTACAGGCACGCACCACCATGCCCAGCTAATTTTTGTATTTTTAGTAGAGACGGGGTTTCACCTTGTTGACCAGGATGGTCTCGATCTCTTGACCTCGTGATCCACCCACCTCGGCCTCCCAAAGTGCTGGGATTATAGGTGTGAGCCACCGCGCCCAGCCCTCTTCTTTCTTTAATTTTTTTTTGGCAGGGGGCAGTGTCTTGCTCTGTTGCCCAGGCTGCAGTGCAGTGGTATGATCTCGCTTGAACCTCTGCCTCCTGGGTTCAAGTGATTCTCTTGCCTCAACCTCCCAAGTAGCTGGGGCCACAGGCACATGCCATCATGCCCAGCTAATTTTTGTATTTTCTGATAGAGACAGCTTTTTGCCATGTTGTCCAGGCTAGTCCCAAACTCCTGACGTCAGGTAATCCACCTGCCTCAGCCTCCCTAAGTGCTAGGATAACACTCCCTCCCTAACTGCTGGGATGAACCACTACACCTGGCCCCATTCTTTATTTTTAACAGCTCTTTTGAGCTATAATTCACATTTCATACAATCTTTTATTTAAAGAGTACAATTCTATGACTTTTAGTATATTCACAAAGCTGTGTACCCATTACTACAATCAACTTCAAAACATTTGTATCGCCCCAAAAAGAAATTCTTTACCCATTAGCAATTGCTTCTTATTTTCCTCTGGCTTCCTAGCTCTAGGCAACCATTACTCTGTTCTGTCTTTATAGATTTGCTTCTGGGCATTTCATATACATGGAATCATACGGTATGTGGCCTTGTATTACTGGCTTTTTCACTTAGCATGATGTTCTCAGCTTCATCCATGTTGGAGCACATAATATTCTATCCTATGGTGTGAAAAAAAAAAAAGCATGAATGCAGCAAGCTGGAGACTGCTATCCTTAGAAAAGCCTGCTTACAAGATCGGCCCTTGACTGGTGTCTGGGACTTTGAATTTGGGGAGATTTCCACCAATCCCTAACTGATATGGTTTACTCTGCCTTAACTAGTTGTATGAACTCTGTGGTTTATGCAATTCACCTGTTTTCCTCCTGGAGTCTGCAATCTTGGTACATGCTAGGCAGAGGGTGCCCACGTGATCAACTCCCAATAAAAACCTTAGGCATATTGAGTCACTAATGAGTTTCCCTGGCAGATATCATTTCACACATTATCACAATTCATTGCTGGGGGATTTAATCTCATCCTGTGTGACTCCACTGGGAGAGGACTCTTGGAAGCCTGTGCCTGGTTTCCTCTTGACTTTGCCCTTAGTTGATTTTGCTTTGTATCCTTTTGCTGTAATAAATCTTAACCATGAGTATGACTACATCCTGTGGGTCCTCTCATCAAATGTAGGGGTGAGCTTGGAGGCCTCTGAGACATATGAATATAGCTCATTTTACTTATCCATTCATTAGTTGATGGACATGTGTGTTATTTCCACTTCTCGGCTATTATGAATAATGCTACTATGAACATTCATGCACAGACTTTTGTGTAGACTTTCATTCTTGGTTATTGTTGTATAATAGAGAATTTGGCCCTGTCCCTGGTTCCCAGAGAGAGACTCTAAATCCTTGTAATTTCCAAAGTAATAGGAGTTTCTTTGTTTTTCATGAGACTCTCAGATCACACCTGAGTTTATACTAATGAGGTGAATCATGGTGGGCACCTTAGAAAGCTTCAGGATGGGGACTGATCATGTGACTAGAGATGTGGGGCTTTGAGGCATATGATAATCACCCAGTGTCCTGGGAAGGGAAGAGAGGGGAGGAGAGCTAGAGTCTGAGTCCATTTCTGTGGCTGTTGATTCAATTAATCATGGCTGCATAATGGAAACCCAATACCTAATACTCAAACTCAGTGGAGTTTACTGGTTTGTGAACACATCAGTGTGTCAGGAGGGTGACACACCCAGAGACAGTATAGCAGCTCTGTGTTTGGGACCCTCCCAGACCTCTGCCAATGTGTCTCTTCATCTGGCTGCTTCTGATATATATTCTTTATAATAAAATTATAGTCACAAATATAGAGCTTTTCTGAGTTCTGTGTCACTCTAGTGAATAATCAAACCTTAAGAGGATGTGGGAACTACCAAACTTATAGCCAGTAGGTCAGAAGTGTAGGTGGCCTAAGGACCCCAAACTTGCTGGTGTCTGAAGTAAGGACAGTCTTGTTGTGGGCCGTGTCTTTATTGTGTAGAGGATAATGCCAACTCTAGCATGATATTGTATTGTAGTACATGAGGTAGATACCAAACAGTGAAATTACTGGGTCATATGATTTCTATTCATTTTGTATTTATTTTTTCCCAGCCAAAAGTATTTTGATATGTTACTTTTCAAATCAAATTGATTTTAATATTCAAAAATCAATTTTGAATGTTACTTTTTGGAATATACTTTTTTATTTGAAGGGAGGAAGGGAGGAAGGCAGGAAGGGAGGAAAGGAGGAAGGGAGGGAGGGAGGGAGGGTGGGAGGGAGAGAAGGGAAGGAAGGAAATCAGGCAATGAGAGAGACATTGTTGACCTGGATCTAGAAGTCTACAAGTTGATTTCTTTTCTTCTTTTTTTGAGAGAAGGAAAGAAAAAAAAGGAGTGAAGGAGAGGAAGAAAAAGAGGGAGAGAATTAAAATATTGCTTTATTCTAAAAAAAACGGGTATTAATAATGGCCAATCAATATTTCATTTAAACGTATGAGTAGGTGTGATGTGGTATTGACAAGAATGTATATTTTGTGTATTTAAAGTGGAGAGCTCTGTAAATATTTATTAAGTTTACTTGTTCCGGATCTAAGTTCGAGTCCTTGATATCCTTATTAATTTTCTGTCTCATTGAGTCTAAGTCTCTATGTACCTGCGTGTTAGGATCATTAGCTCTTGTTGTTGCATTGATCCTTTTACCACTGTATCTTCGTTGCTTTAATAGCTAATTTATCAGATACGAGAATTGCAATGCCTGCTTTTTGTTTATTTATTTATTTTTGCTCTCCATTTGGTTGGTAAATCTTTCTCCATCCCTTTGTTTTGAGTCTTTGTGTATCCTTGCATGTGAAATGGGTCTGGATGTAGCATACCGTTGGGTTTTGGCTGTATCTTTTGATTGGGAGATTTAGTAGATTTAAATTTAGGATTACTGCCATTTGATGTTAACTGGCTGTTTTCTCCATTTGTTGATGTAAATTCTTCTTTATGTTGATGCTCTTTACTTTTGGGTATATTTTTAGAAAGGCTAATACTGGTTGTTTCTTTCTATGTGTAACGCTTCTTTCAGAAGCTCTTGTTAAGCAGGCCTGGTGGTAATAAAATCTCTGAGTTTTAGAGATTGTTCATAAAAGATTTTATTTTTCCTTCAGTTGTGAAGCTTAGTTTGGCTGGATATGAAATTCTGGGCTGAAAGTTCTGTTCTTTAAGGATGTTGATTATTGGCCCCCACTCTCTTCTGGCTTGTAGAGTTTCTGCTGAGAGATCTGCTGTAAGTCTGATAGGCTTGCCTTTGTGGGTAACCTGACCTTTCTCTCTGGCTGCCCTTAGTATTTTCTCCTTTGTTTCAACCCTGGTGAATCTCACGATTATGTGCCTTGGGGTTGCTCTTCTTGAGGAATATCTTTGTGGTGTTCTCTGTATTACCTGGGGTTGAATATTGTCCTGCTTTGCTAGTTTAAGGAAATTTTCCTGGATAATATCCTGAAGAATATTTTGCAGCTTGGATTCATTCTCTCCGTCGCATTCAGGTACACCTATCAAACGTAAATTTGGTCTTTTCACATAGTCCCACATTTCTTGGAGACTTTCCTCATTCCTTTTTATCCTTTTTTCTCTAATCTTATCTTCTTGTTTTATTTCATTAAGTTGGACTTCGACCTCTGATATCCTTTCTTCTGCTTGAACAATTCGAGTGTTTAAACCTGTGCATACTTCTCAGAGTTCCTGTATTGTATTCTTCAGTTCCATTAATTCACTTATATTCCTCTCTAAGTTGTCTATTCTCATTAGGGTTTTGTCAAACCTTTTTTCGAAGTTCTTAGTTTCTTTACATTGGGCTACAACATGTTCTTCTAACTCACAGAAGTTTCTTATTATCCACGTTCTGAAGCCTGATTCTGTTCATGAGATGTGCTCGTTCTCCATCAAGCCTTGTTCCCTTGTTGATGAGGAACTGTGATCCTCTTTAGAGGGAGAGACATTCTGGTTTCAAGTATTCTCAGCCTTTTTAAGCTGATTTTTTCCCATCATTGTAAATTTATCCACCTGTCGTCTTTGTAATGACCAACTTTCAGATTAGGTCTCTGGGTGGACGTCCAAGTTGTTAATTTCCAGGGCCGAAATATGAGCAACTCACTGCACTGGCCAAAACAGCAGCATTAAGACTGATGGTGCTTTTCTGTCCGGGAATCTCCAATCTGGCTTCCTTCTTGAGTCCGTAATAGACGACTCTGCCTTCCCGGAGCTCCAGACCTTGGTCAGAAGGGGAACCAATCCCATTTACTCTGCACCAAGAGCTGCTGTGCCGAGGTGCTGGCAAAACCGCTGCGCCGGCCACAAGAGCCGTGCTGACGACCCGTGCGGCTCCTCCAAACCTCGGTCAGAAGGGGAACCAGTCCTGTTTACTCTGCACCAAGAGCTGCCGTGCCGAGGTGCCGGCAAAACCGCTGCACCGGCCACAAGAGTCGCACAGGCGACCCCTGCGGCTCCTCCACTTAGAATCTTCTGCTCCGTGAGACCAAAATTTGTCTGAAAGTGTGGCGTCCTCTCATTCTCTGCGCTTTGACTGGGAGCTGCAATCCCAAGATGTTAGCGATCAGCCATCTTGAATCGTTCCTCCTGGAATATACTTTAAACATTTTTTTTTCCTTCTCTTTAGAGACTCCAGATAAAAACAATTCCGACCCTCACTTTTTCAGATGAGAGAAACAAGGCAGATGAGAGAAACAAGATCCAGGAACATTTAAATGTATGAAAGCAAAGCTGTGCTTCTGATTGGCAGGTAAGAAGTGTTCTCATGGTGGGCAAGGTGGCTCCTGCTGTAATTCCAGCATTTTGGGGGGCCGAGGTAGGTGGATCCCTTGAGTCCAGGAATTCCAGATCAGCTTGAAATACATGTCAAAACCCCATATCTACCAAAAAAAAAAAAAACAGAGTTCTCACTAAGTTTTATTACTATTTTCCAAGCAACAATGGAACTTAAATAAATGTAGTAAGAAATATGCATATTAAAAAATTTGGGCCAGCTATTCCTACTTCTTACTTGACAGATGAAAAAAATAAAAACAGGGCATAGAGAAATAAAGTGACAAATTTCCAGGGATAAACTTGGGTCTACATATTTTATTATTATTATTATTATTTTGGTAGAGACAGGGTCTCACTATATTGTCCAGGCTATTCTCCAACTTCTGGGCTCAAGCAATCTGCCCACCTTGGCATCCCAAAGTGCTGGGCTTACAGGCGGGAGTCACTGCACCTGTCTCACACCTGGGTCTACAGTTACAAAACTTTATGGAAAGTACATTAATTAAATAATAAAAAATATAAAAAGAGAGTTGTTTAAAGTGTTGGGTATGTATGTGGGGAGAAGGGTGTGTGTGAGATGGGCTGGTCACGAACACTCGAAACCTGTGATTACAGAGTGTCAGAGATTTCTTTGATCTTCAGAAATAGCATATATCCAGAATGCAAAAACAGTCTTTTGCTACCTGAACCTTCTGTACCCGCTACCAACTGTGAAACTCAACATAATGGGCTTCGTCTGTTCTTAACTCATAGTGAATACATTCACACAAAGCCATTAGTTTTCTTTCTGAGATGGGGGTCTCCTTCCTAATGAAAACACTCAGACAAAGCCATTACTCTCTTTCTTTTCTTCCTTTCCCTCCCTCCCCCTCCTTCCTCCTTCCTTGAGATGGGGTCTGACACTGATACCCAGGCTGGAGTGCAGTGGTATGATCTTGGTTCACTGCAACCTCTGCCTCCCAGGTTCAAGTGATCCTCCCACCTCAGCCTCCGAAGTAGCTGGAACTACAGGCATGTGCCACCATACCTGGCTAATTTTTTTGGTATTTTTTTTTTTTTTTATAGAGGCAAAGTTTTGCCATGTTGCCCAGGCTGGTCTCAAACTCCTGGACTCAAGTGATCCACTGGCCTTGGCCTCCCAAATTGCTAGGATTACAGGCGTGAGCCACTGCGCCCAGTCTAGCCATTAGTTTCCAAAAGTGTTGTCTATGACCAAAGTGGTGATGAGGTAAATCTTTGGGTATGTATAAAACACATCCAATTCATGATCACCAAATGAGTGACAAATGTTCTACAAAGAGCACTGTATTAGATATTAGGAGCTATGGGTTGTAGTCCAAGCTCTGATATGTGGTGAATAATCCTGAACAAGGCATTTAGCTTCCCACCCTCATTTCTTGCATCTGCAAAATCTGTGGTTCAGATTAGATGATCTCTAATATTTCTTCCACTCTCACAGTTTTTGCTGCTTTATGTTGCAGGACCTCTAGCACATTTGTGCATTGAAGACTTTCTACTTTATTTTCTTAAGTTTTAAATTTTTGCTTCAGATAGCTCTTTGCTTCTTATACCCCATTTCTTCTTTCTGGATCCAATTTTCTTCTTTCTTAAGCTTGTTATAAGACCAACAGGTTCATACGCCTGCTGCACAGTAAGAGATCAATTACACCAGACAGTACTTGAGCCCAGGAGTTCAAGGCTGCTGTGAGCCATGATAACACTGAACTGCACTCCAGACTGGGTGACAGAGGGAGACCCTATCTTCAAAAACAACAAACAATCAGTTGCTGGTGAGGATGTAGAGAAACCACATCAATCACACATTGCTGGTGAGAGTGTAGAATAGTATAACCACTTTGGAAAACAGTTTGGCAGTTTCTTAAAAACCAAAACATGTGGCCAGGTGTGGTGGTTTACAGTTGTAATTCCAACATTTTGTGAGGCTGAGACAGGAGGATTGCCTGAGGCCAGGAGTTCAAGACCAGCCAAGGTAGGGAACCTGTCTCTACCAAAAAAAAAGAAAGTTATCTGGTTGTGACAGTACACATCTGTAATCTCAACTACTCAGGAGGCTGAGGTGGGAGGATTGCTGGAGCCCATGAAGGTCAAGACTACATGAGCCATGATTGCACCACAGCTGAGGCTAGGGAGTGAGACTGTCTCTGAGAGAGAGAGAGAGATAACAAAGAAAGATGACCAGAAGAATCAGGAATGGTGGTACCACTCTTTATATGCTTATTTTCAGAGTAAAAGTGGGTTGGGGTTGGAGTGAAGAGGCCTCTGTTTTTTTACTCTATGTACTTCTATGTGTCAGATTTTTAGAATTAAACTGTGTTCATATTGTACTTGTGTGCTTTAAAATTATTTTAGGTTGGGTGTGGTGGCTGACACCTATATCCCAACACTTTGGGAGGCCAAGGTGGGAGGACTGCTTGAGCCTAGGAATTCAAGACCAGCCTGGGCAACATAGTGGGACTCTGCTTCTACAAAAATTATCCTGGCATGGTGGCGCACACCTGTAACCCCAGCTACTCAGTAGGCTGAGGTGGGAGGGTTACCTGAGCCTGGGAAGTTGAAGCTTCAGTGAAATGTGATTCAGCCACTGCACTCCAGCCTGGGCGATAAGAGTGGCTCTGTATCAAAAATAAAATAAAATATAAACAAAATTAATTTAAAGTGAAAATGAGAATATATAAACTGGGCAGGGTCGTCTTATCTGAGGTACTTGGGACCGAAAGCAGGAGGACTCCTTGAGCCCAAGAGTTCAAGACAAGCCTGGGTAACATAACAAGATTCAGTCTCAAATATATATATATATAGTACAAAATAAAATAGCACAGTGGTAGACAGTAGAAGGAGACTGACTTAGACCCAGGAAGAAGAGGTGGGCTATACTATGTGCTAGGCCTATCATGCTGTTTGCCACACACAAGAGGCCACAATGAACTGTTTGTGACTGAATAATGTAATGATGTTGGCAACTTCCTGAGGAAGAGCATGAAGGCAGCGCTGGTCTCTGCTGTGGCCCACTAACTTCCTGAGCATTGGCTAGAAGGTGATCTATGCTCTAAAGTATTGATCCCCAACCTTTTTGGCATCAGGGACAGTGACACTGGAAGTGTGTTGCATACGTCCAGTTTACTCCGTAATCTGGTTTTCGTTGCTGTCACTGAAGAAAACCCTGCTTCACAAAGAGGATGTTGGAAATGGAAGCAGGCTTTTCAGTGTGTTTGTGGCAAACTCAGGACATTCACCTTGACTTTAACCCAGAATGTATGGCAATTCGAAGTTGACTCAAACATACCTTTTTTTCCTTTCAATAGAGTCTCACTCTCTCACCAGGCTGGAGGGCAGTGGCACAATCTTGGCTCACTGCAACCTCTGCCTCTGTGTTCAAGCGATTCTTCTGATTCAGCCTCCTGAGAATCTGGGACTACAGGCGTGTACCACCATGCCCAGTTAATTTTTGTATTTTTAGTAGAGATGGGGTTTCACCATGTTGGCCAGGATGGTCTTGATCTCTTGACCTCATGATCTGCCCATCTTGGCCTCCCAAAGTGCTGGGATTACAGGCAGCCAACCGTTTTTTGTTTGTTTGTTTTTTGAGATGGAATCTCATTCTGTCACCCAGGCTGGAGTGCAGTGGCGTGATCTCAGCTCACTGCAACTTCTGCCTCCTGTGTTCAAGTGATTCTCCTGCCTCAGCCTCCTGAATAGCTGGGCCTACAGGCACATGCCAATTTTTGTATTTTTAGTAGAGATAGGATTTCACCATGTTGGTCAAGTTGGTCTCAAACTCCTGACCTCAAGTGATCCGACTGCCTCAGCCTCCAAAAGTGTTGGGATTACAGGTGTGAGCCACTGTGCCCAACTTCGAATATACTTTTAAGGCCACTATCACTTGCCATCTCAAGCAGTTAATTCTCTTCAAGCATGGACAAAGCCGATTCATCTGGCTACACAAATGGGTTGAGAATCCATTCCTTCCCAGTTTGGGGGATCTTCTAAGGTTGGGAAGTAGTGCCCGAACTCTTTGATTGATTGAGATGGAGTCTTGCTCTGTTGCCCAGGCTGCAGTGCAGTGGTATGATCTCAGCTCACTGCAATCTCTGCCTCCCCTGGTTCAAGTGATTCTCCTGCCTCAGCCTCCTGAGTATCTGGGATTACAGGTGCATGCCACCATGCCTGGCTAATTTTTGTATTTTTAGTAGAGACAAGGTTTCACCATGTTGGCCAGGCTGGCCTCGAACTCCTGACCACAAGTGATCCGGATGCCTCGGCCTCCCAAAGTACAGGCATTATAGGTGTTAGCCACCGCACCTGGCCTCAAACTCTTTTGAAAGCCGAGAGAGGTGATCATGCACCAGTTGGGAGAAAGAAAGCCCTAGCTCAGTCTCTTTCAACATCTCCACTAATATTGGAAACACGTCAGAAATCCCAATGTTCACTTGTTGGCCCCATAATTCCAGTCTGGCTTTGAATGCAGCCACCTTATCTGCTGTCTTGAACACAGTTGTTGTTCTCTGCTGAAATGACAGATTGAGTTCATTGACCAGGTTAAATATGTCACACAAGTAAGCAAGTTTTGTGAGCCATTCTGTGTCACTGAAATGTGCCATCAGTGGTGATCATTTTTCTGAAAGAAATCTCTGAAGCGGCTCTCATAACCCAGAAACTCTGGTCAGTGACCTACCTTTAGAAAGCCATCTTGGCCAGGCACGGTGGCTCAAGCCTGTAATCCCAGCACTTTGGGAGGCCGAGGCGGGTGGATCACGAGGTCAAGAGATTGAGACCATCCTGGTCAACATGGTGAAACACCATCTCTACTAAAAATACAAAAAAATTAGCTGGGCGTGGTGGCGCGTGCCTGTAATCCCAGCTACTCAGGAGGCTGAGGCAGAATTGCCTGAACCCAGGAGGCGGAGGTTGCGGTGAGCCGAGATTGCGCCATTGCACTCCAGCCTGGGTAACAAGAGCGAAACTCCGTCTCAAAAAAAAAAGAAAGCCATCTCATTTCTGGGCATAAGAGAAGACATGTGTGCTCTACGTCCATCTCCTCGCGGAGCTGTGTGAAGAGGTAAGTTAAGGGCATGTGCTTTAATGTGGTTGATAATTTTAATCACAACCTGCAAAATGTTGTTAAGTTCAGGTGACATTTTTTTGGGAGGCTGAGGTGAGTGGATCACCTAAGGTCACGAGTTCAAGACCAGCCTGACCAACATGGAGAAACCCTGTCACTACTAAAAATACAAAATTAGCCAGGCATGGTGGCAGAAGCCTGTAATCCCAGCTACTCAGGAGGCTGAGGCAGGAGAATAGCTTGAACCTGGGAGGCAGAGTTCGTGGTGAGCCGAGATTGTGCCATTGTACTCCAGCCTGGGCAACAACAAACTCCATCTCAAAAATAAAAATAAATAAAAAGAATTGACCTCTTTCACCCAAGCAGTGAAACCAGAAAGCTGTCCAGTCATGGCAGCTACTCTGTCCATGAATATGCCAACACAAGATGACTGATTCACTTTTTCTTATATGTAATTATTCAAATACTTGAATAGTTCTGCAGCTGTGGCGTTGGCTGGCAACAAAACTGCATATAACATATCCTCATGCACATCCTCCAGAAAAAATATATCACACAAAAACAAGCATTGTGCCTTGCTGTCAACATCAGTAGACTCATCAACCTGGTTGGCATACCATGGTGACTTACTAATCGTGCCTCAATATCCTCTGCTCTTTCATCAGTTAATCTAGTTATGGTGCCACCTTTTGAACTGCAGCCTCTCCTAAGAGCTCATGGCAAATGTCTTTAGCCAGAGGCAGGGTCACCTCCTTACCAATTGTAAAGGGCTTCTTAGCTTTTGCAATGTGGTTAGCCACTAAGAATGATGCTCTCAGTGCAGACACATTTGATGAAGTGGCAGCCTTCAACAATTGCTTTTGTTCTTTGTGTTCACGTTTTTTTCTTTTGGAAAACTCCAAAGCTTGTCTTTTAGCACAGGGTGCTTGGTCTCCATGTGGCAAAGAAGTTTTGAGGCTTTGTTGGTTAGCCGGTTGCCACATATTATACAAGGCAGGCTTGGAGAATGTGAATCACCTGTTGCAATGAGCCCATAATTTAAGTAGGACTCTTGGCATTTTCTTTTATTTATTTATTTTTTTGAGATGGAGTTTCGCTCTTGTTACCCAGGCTGGAGCGCAATGGCGAGATCTCGGCTCACCGCAACCTCCACCTCCTGGGTTCAGGCAATTCTCCTGCCTCAGCCTCCTGAGTAGCTGGGATTACAGGCACGCGCCACCATGCCCAGCTAATTTTTTGTATTTTTAGTAGAGACGGGGTTTCACCATGCTGACCAGGATGGTCTCGATCTCCCGACCTCGCGATCCACCCGCCTCGGCCTCCCAAAGTGCTGGGATTACAGGCGCGAGCCACCGCGCCTGGCCGGCATTTTCTTTTAAATGTACCTTTTTTTTTTTTTTTGGCAGTCTTGGAGTCTTCTACTATCTCATTATTGGGTCTTACCCCATGCTTTTTTTTTTGAGATGGAGTTTCACTTTGTTGCCAGGCTGGAGTGTAGTGGTGTGATCTTGGCTCAATGAAACCTCCACCTCCCAGGTTCAAGCAATTCTCCTGCCTCAGCCTGCTGAGTAGCTGGGACTACAGGTGTGCACCAGGACGCCCAGCTAATTTTTGTATTTTTAGTAGAGATGGGGTTTCACCATGTTGGCCAGGATGGTCACGATCTCTTGACCTTGTGAGCGCCTGCCTCAGCCTCCCAAAGTGCTGGGATTACAGGCGTGAGTCATTACTTCCAGCCTGGGTCTTTCCCCCTTTTTAAAGAAACTCTCTTCAGTGACATTTGCTTTTTCTCGTTTTGGCTAGGGCTAGCTTGTGGGCTTACCAAAACTGTGACTGAGACAAGTGCACAGTGATGGAAAGAGGCACAGACAGAGTGGTAAATCAAATAAAGGGCAGGCCACATATGGACTAAAATAAAATGTCAGATTCTGACTTAAAGCCTGCCACCAGAGGCAGCTGTACAACTGAAGTACGTTGACTCGCCAGCCACTTTAAAGCCTGCTACCAGATGCAGCTTAATTGTCACTTGCTGATAAGGTTTTGATATGAATCTGCAAGCAACTGACTTATTATTTCTGTGCAGTCAACCCTCTATGCTAATGTTAATCTGTATTTGAAGCCACTCTCCAGCGCTAGCATCACTGCCTCAGCTCCACCTCAGATCATCAGGCATTAGATTCGTATAAATAGTGCCCAACCTAGATCCTTCACCTAAGCAGTTCACAGTAGGGTCTGAGCTCCTCTGAGAATCTAATGCCACTGCTGATCTGACAGGAGGTGGAGCTCAGGCTGTAGTGCTCACTCGCCCGCTGCCCACCTCCTGCTGTGTGGCCCCGTTCCTAACAGGCACGGATCAGTACCAGTTTGTGGCCCACGGGTTGGGGACCCCTGGTCTACAGTCTTATCAAATGCGATGTTCACTATCTGCTTTCACTGATTTTGAGGGAAGAAATCTAGGATGTATATTAAAGATTTTGAGGTGCTGGGCCAGAATATGATGTACTGGGAAATACAAACAACATTCTCAACTGTTTTCTGTAGAAGATTGGCAAT